AAATCACAATGTTCCCCAAGGCACCTTTAGAAGAGAAATTTGAAGATTCGTGTCCAGGAAATCACTCTCAAGAACCTCAAAGACCACCACAGGTACCCTGCTCCAAGAACTTAATGTGGTTGACAGCACAGTGGAGATCTCCATGGCCGAGGAGGTGGGCCTTAACATGCCCCCAAATCCATCATGATAGGTTATGTCTGGAACTGTCGAGGGTTGGCCCAGATCTCGACAGTTCGCCATCTAAGGGCACAAATAAGTGGGGGTGTAACTTGGATTGGCAACCCGATTTCAACTCGAGTTCAAGCCGAAAAAATTAGGGCTTGGGTAAGAGTTTTTAATACTTAGGTTGAATTTAAGTCAAAAAACTCTAACCCAAATTCAATTTGGGTCAAAAAACTCCAACCCAAATTCAATTTGGGTTGGACTTGGGTTAAGGCCTCGTGAACCCAAGTTCAACCTGAACCCGACAAATTAAAAAAAAATTATATATATATAAAATATTAGCATTGATTTTTCATTTTTATTCTATCATTTTCTGTCACTCTTGTTCTCTTTGCCTCTCTCGTTCTTTCAACCTTTCTCGTTAAAAACTTGGTTGAAGTTATTAGTTGTTAATTTAGGTGAATATTATGTAATCTATGTATTAGGTTTAGAATATCAAGTTTATTTTGGACTCTACCCAAATTAAACCCGTAAAGTAATCCAAAATTAACCCGATCTCACCCGAATTAAACTCAGGCAGTACTCGGGTTGAGTTCTCCAACCCGAAGTAGAGTTAGGGTTAGGGTTAGAGTTGAAATTATATACCTAGGATTGGGTTAGGATTGATTGTTCAACCCGCCCGAATTGCACCCCCACAAATAAGAGAAGGTCAACCAGACTTCCTATTTTTATCAGAAACAATAATTGGATATTTATATGGCTGTTGAACTGCGTCTATGCACCAACAACCAGAGCAATCTATGGGACTCTATATCACAGATAAATAGTGATTTCCAAGGTCCCGCCATTTTTGTTGGGGATTTTAACAATGTTGTTTCACATCAAGAACAGAAAGGAGGTAGACCCTTTGCTACACCCTCTAATGGAGGATTTGGAAGACTCTTCAAGGATCAAGGGCTTATAAACCTTGGTTTTGAGGGAAATTCATTCACTTGGTCGAACAAAAGGGAAGGTTTAGCGAATATAAAAGAAAGACTTGACAGGGGAATCGTGAATACAGAATGGAGAATTCTGTTTCCAAGGGCCACAATAACACATTTTCCAGCTATTGAATCTGATCATAGCCCTCTGCTTTTGAACACATATGGTGAACAAGCTACTTTTTCAAAACCTTTCAAGTTCGAAGCATTTTGGACAAGGGATGAATCAAGCCATCTGGTGGTCAAAAAATCATGGAATACAGAGCAAAATGGCTCACCTGCATTCAGGTTCTACAGGAAAATGCAAGCCACGAATACTGCTCTAAGAAAATGGAATAGAGATAAATTTGAAAATTGTTTCAAGAGGATCAAGGATCTGAAAGCAAGAATTAACACTCTCCAAGGAGAAGAACCATCACCAGATAACTTTTTGGAGGAAAAAATCTTAAAGAGACAGACTTGGATGAACAGCTCAAAAGGGAAGAAATTCTCGGGAAACAAAGGTCTAGGATCCAATGGCTTAAGGAAGGAGACGCATGCACAAAGTTCTTCCACAATACCACAGTGATCAGGAGAAGAAGGAACTCCATTGACTGCCTGAAGCTTGGAAATGGTAATTGGGTTACTGAAAGAGCTGAAATTGGTAACCAATTTTCTCTCCATTTGCAATCCCTGTTCTCCTCTGCCCAAACCCAACTCCCAGATGACTTAAACCTTTTGTTCCCTCCTGTTATAAACCCTTTGTGCTATACCAACTAGTGAAGAGATAAAATCCATAGTGTTTGCAATGCCACCACTCAAGTCACCAGGCTCCGATGGAATGTCTGCTATTTTTTATAAGACTTAGTGGCACAGTGTCGGTAACGACCTGTGTAATGTTGTGAGAAGCTTCTTTGCAGGAGGACACATGTTGAGGGAGCTCAATAAAACCTTTATCTGCCTAATTCCAAAAATTTCCAGCCCTTCTACAGTCCACCACTACAGGCCCATAAGTCTCTGCAATGTAGACTACAAAGTCATTTCAAAAATTATAGCAAATACGCCCATATCTTGACCAATTCATTTCCCTTCCCCAGACTGCCTTCATACCTGGTAGGAACATTGCTGAAAATGTTATCCTTGCCCAAGAAGTAGTTAACCAACTCAGAAAGAAAAAGGAAAAAGGGGCTCTTATGATCCTCAAAATTGACGTGTCCAGAGCTTTTGATAGAGCAGAGTGGCCATTCCCCCTAAAAATTCTATCTCTATCGGGCTTTCCATTTCAATTTACTCATCTCATAGAACAATGTATCACAACTCCAACCTTTTCCATTCTCATCAATGGGGGCCCAGTTGGTAACTTCTCATCGTAAAGAGGCTTAAGGCGAGGGGATCCCATATCCCCTTTCCTCTTCATAATTTGCATAGAAGCCCTCTCTAGATTACTCACTAGAAAAAGTATGATGGGCAGCCTGAAAAGGATTAAAATTGCTAGAAACTGTGATCCCCTCACTCACCTTTTGTTTGCAGATGATCTTCTTGTTTTTGGCAGGGCAAATGAAGGTGAAGCTGAAACAATTGCAGATTGCTTAGCAACCTATGAAAGTTGGTCGGGTCAACTCATCAACAAAGACAAGTGTGTGATCCATTATAGCAACAATGCAAATAGAGTTCAGATTTCCACCATCAATTCTATTCTTGGACTCAAGAAAGCAGCAAATGATGCAAAGTACTTGGGGCTTCCTTTTTTAGTCTTGCGAACAAGACGTAGAGCCTTTCAACCCATTGTTGAGAGATTGGATGCAAAGCTACAAGGATGGAAGGCTAAACTATTGTCTTATGCTGGAAGAGCCACGCTGATAAAATCCACAGCCCTTGCAATGCCGACATACACCATGCAATCTTTTCTCCTCCCGAAAACTGTGTCAAACCTTAGATGGCAAGATCAGAGATTTTTGGTGGGGACACAATGAAACAAAGAAAGCAATGTGTACTAAATCTTGGGATTTCATTTGTCACCCAAAGAATGTGGGAGGTCTGGGGTTTAGAAGGACGTACGACATGAATGTGGCTCTCATGGCAAAGCTGGGATGGCAAATGATTTCCCAAAAGACTAAATTGTGGTCTACGCAAATGGGAAGGAAATATTGTTCTAGACACTCCTTTTTGAAAGTGGACAAAAAGTCGGGAGACTCTCCAACATGGAAACAGATCCTTCAATGCAGACCAACCATCAATATTTGGACATGAAATCAATATTTGGACAGACCCTTGGGTACCAAATATACCAAATTATAAGCCAGAGTTGGAGTATGAGGTGGAAGTAGCGCCAACTACTGTTGCGGAATTAATAAATCAAGAAAGTCACACATGGAATTTAGAACTTCTCCATACACTCTTTAGCAAACCATTGAAGCAATCAAAAGGATCAAGCTCTCTAATTTCCAAGCAGAATATCAAATGGCTTGGATCCCATTATCTTCCGGAGTTTTCAGCACAAAGTCTGCCTATACTACTCTAAGGGGAATCTGGATGAAGAATCTCACTACCTTAATCAAGTTGACTGGACCAAATTTTGGAACACTCCACTGCATGAAAGACACACAATGATTTTGTGGAGAGCTACTACAGAAAGTCTACTAACAAGGAACATTCTTGCAAAAAGGTTTCATATTTCTGATCCTTTGTGCCCCTTCTGCCAGCAAGAAAATGAGACAGAGACCCACATGTTCTTCCTCTGCCATATAGCTCGATTAATCTGGTTTATCAATTGGGGCTTTCGGACAGAACCTTTCGCCCACTTCAGCATGCAAGATTGGATCCACAACCTACTTAGTCCTACTCTCATCTTTGGCCCCAGTAGTCCTAATCAAGGCAAACTACTGTTGGCTGCCTCCTCAATATTCATTACTATCTGGAAATGGAGGAACAAACTGATCTTCAGTGGGAAAAAATTGGATCATGTGTATGTTGTTAACGAAGTAAGGCAGGTCTTTGAGGAATCCCAGAAAGCAAGATGCAGTCATTCAAGAAATAAGGAATTATGCCATAGAGACCAATGTCTTGATAGTTGCTGGTCCAGACCAACTGAGGGAGGCTTAAAAGTCAACATTGATGCAGCCATTGGACAACATGGTTCATGTCTGGCTGCAATTGCAAGGAATGAATTTGGAAGAGTTATAGAAGCTATAGTCATGCAAGATTCTGAGACCGATCCTACCAATGCTGAAGCACTTGTGGCAAGAATGGCAGCTCTCTGGGCGCATGGAAAAGAATGGAGCTATGTCACTTTGGAAGGAGACTCACAGCAAGTGGTCTTTACTGCAACTCTACCACACATAAAGAGTCCCATGGAGCATGGTTACAATTATTTCAGATATCAAAACTCTTCTCTCACTACATGTGGATTGGGACATGTCTCATTCATACCGGGAATCCAACAAAGCTGCACACAGACTGGCTAAATGGGGACTTAGTATGCACTATGAGGGCGTACTCCAAGCAGAGGAACTACCCCAACTGGTCAGACAAGAAGTGACGAAAGACTGTGCAACTCAGGCCTTCACAAGGAGTAGAATAGAAACATTATAGCACCTAGAATTTTATTAGTTCAATCTCTATCTTGTATCTCTCTTCTTCAACCAGCAAAAAAAAAACACGAATAATTGACCTTGTATGGCTAGTGCACACGAAAATGCACCCAAGACCAATATATCATCAATGTCCTCCTTCCTAGTATTAAACATTAAAAAAAAAAACCTACTGCAGCTTTGACAGACTAATAAAACATAACAGCAAATGACAAAAAGGATAAAGAAATTGGGCAAGAAATAAGAACCCCACAAGAACATAATAAAACACAGAAATGCACTACTTTGCCATGAAGAAATTTGATTATCCCACTAACAATAGCAGATTTCATTCAATGATCAGATTAGAGAAGACAAGTCTTAGTTCATTTGGCACTACAATGTTTTCGAGCCAGCCAGCCTATTCATCGGTTGAACAAAATACAACTTGCCCTCAATTCAAGCCACAAGCCTCTATTAAGACTATCTTTACTACAGAGATTGGATGTACAACTTGACAATGCCCCCACAGAAGCCCTTGGAGAAGCAAGCACAGGCAAGATTAGGATGAACACATAATACATAGAAAAAAATTCAAGATAAATATATGAACAAGTGCAAAGAAGCTGAGCATAACTAAAATTACACACATACAGTAAAATCTCTGCAACAAAGAGCAATGTAAGACACTGTCAAAGCTCGGAGAGAATTGCAGGGATGTAGTGAGATAACTCTGCAGTGAGTGACTGAAACCCATTCACAAGCTGTGTGTGGAAATCCTGGTCTTCCTCCCCAATCAACCTAAAGTGAACTCGGATGGCACGCTTGCAGACGGCCATAAATTCAAGGAGTGCAGCAATGAGTTGCTGAAGCTCCTGTGAGCGCAGCCGTGTTGCAGGCTCACCTGAGAGGAAAGCTGTGCACACACTCAGGACTCCACTGTTTACCTGGAGTATGAACATTAGATGTTGAGTGCAACTGAGAAATTGATCCAGCAGGATTGAAAAGAATACAAAAGAAGCAATTCTATACAAAGGCATATATGCTAGGAAACAATGGAATCAGCTACATCTTTCACACAAATCCTCTTTTTGAGGCTGAGAAGAACACAACATCCTGGAACAATTATGATCAACAACAAAACAATGAAAAACAAAACCAGGAAAGATGTCCAAAACAAGGCAACTCACTTGAACAGCAACAGAGCCTTGAAGTATTCTCTGTAGACTCTGGAGACGCGGGAGCTGATCCCCTTCGGAGCTGCGTGGTTCTTCAAGCTCATTTCGAAGAGCAGCAGTCCGAGTTTCAATCATTCCAATTGCATTCTCTACTGGAGAGAACTCAAGACATTCTGAGTTAATAACCATGAGCCGGTTCACTAATGCAGGGAAAGAGCCCTCTGTCTGAAGAACAGTGCGTCGCTTCCATTGGTCCTCCAACCCACCTTGAGTCTTGCCATTTTTCGTAAAAGGAGTATCAAACAAGAAGCGATCAAAGACACGTGCACGGACACTTCCGGTAGAAAGAGAAAATATTCTCTCCCTTCTGCTTCCCAGATCTTCATCTTCCATAACTGGATCAACAGCAGTTATCTGCAGGTAGCAAACCCCAGGCTGCAACTCTTCTGCTTTAACTTGTCTAGAATCTGGAATTATGTGCAAGGTCTGATTTCCATTGATCTTCAACTCGTATATATGACTGAGTTTCTCCATCACATCACCCAACCGTACATCACGAGGTTCTCTGTATACATATTCTTTTCTATCGAGCTTACCAAATTTTTCGCCATAGAATCCCACCCGATAATATGTGGCATCGGAGAATGGTATTGGGCTCGACTCCTGCTCAAGAATTGATTCATAGATATTGGTTAGCATCGTGTGGCATTTCGCTAGCTGACTGTATGCCCTCCTGCTCTTATAAACAGGAATTACGAGTTCTAGAATGCTTGCACAGAAATGGTAGAGCTCAGCTTGAGAGAAAAGCTTGTTTGCAAGCTGTAGGTATTTCACAGCTGAGTCAACTGTCAGTTTTGAAGCACCGTAACCTTCTACCTCTGCTGCTGAGGCCTCACCAGATATTTCACCGCTGACCATGGGACATATTTTGCGTAGCACACTCACATGATCACTGCTCCAGACTCCATCATTTCTGCTCACCAGGGCCTACAAAGAAATGGTTCATAACAATATGAGCATCAGTATGCAAAACCAGGAATCATACTGCACCCTATTGTCCACTCAAAATGGTGCATGGGAGTGCTGATATATCACCATTACATGACAAGTGACTCTGGAAGAGATGGGCGTACACCTTAGTACATATAGGACTCATTTGGTTAACGTAATGTAAAAAAATGGATAGTATTAGGTAATACTGGCAAATTCCGCAGCTAAAATACAAGATTAAAAACCGGACAAAAATATTATGCATTGCAATCTAGTGTTTAGTAAAACACCGGATTAAGAGTGGGATAATATAGTACAAATTACATATTGACTAAGAAACTATCAATCTTGTCTAGTTATTAATGTTTTTGTTTATTTGGTGAGTAAAATAATAAATTTATAACTTAATACGTTTGAACTGGACTCTAATACCATCTCCCCACGTGGTACTATAATCAGCTTAATGGTACGGATAGAGTGTATAATTTGGATAAGCATTTGGAATAAAACTACATATAATACGAAGTGTTTTTTGCAACAAAATGCATTAAAAGGTTGGATTAGAGAGTTTTAATATATTATGCTTCTGTAATCTACCTTTTTAATACTACAACCAAACGACCTCATATGGTATAAATGATTGTTGTACTATACTCATAAATTCGTTTTCACACATATCAACCTTAACAATCACTTCTTAGGTATTTTCATGTTTGTATTCTTATGATATATCTGTATCTAATTCCTGTAGGTAAGTTGAGGCAAATTTCCCTAGAACAATCTCAGGCAGTGGGTCTCAAATGTGCAAAGAAGCGGCAGAGACAATTGATCACTTGCTACTGTGATGTTCAGTGGAAAGGGAGATATAAGGGTTGGTTTTCAAAAATTTTTTTGTGTTGTTGGGGTGATACTGAAATAGCTTTGGATATGTTGCACAGTTAAGAGGACAGAATGATGCTGCAACAGGCGTGCATTGGAGGTATGTGTAGTTACACCTTTCCGCTCATGGTAAGCATATGTTTCAAGACAATAGGAGGAACATTGATGGCAAGGAGACATCAGTCTTGGATCTAAAGAGAAACTTTTGAGACTTTTGTTTTATTGGTTCTTTGGGAAGGCTACTTTGTGGAGATGGTTTAATTGATTCCTGGGGAGCGAGGGGGTTCTTTATACGAGGTTTTTGGGTTTTCATGCTTCCCTTGTTTTTAGTGTAGGTTCTCTTTGTTTTGCTTCCTGCTTGTCCCTTTTGCTAGTGTATACACACTGTGCACATAGACGGAACCCCTTGGTGATTTTAATGTTCAAAGGTGAACTTAAAAAGGACAAGAAAAAGAAAAAAATGGCCATTTATAATATTGTAAACATAAGATTCCTACTCAAAACCAATGAGATATATCAGTATTATTTCATATTCTTGTTCACTAGGACTAGGAGATGAATTCCTGACTGTGGCTTTTGGATTTTACATATGATGATGAAACAAAAGAAAATAAACTATGAGGCAGAAGAAGAAAAAGAATCAAGCCAATTACAGCACAGTGACAGTTTGTTGGCAAGTCCAGGCTATCTGGGGGCTGCAGACTCGTATCATACTCTCATTATCCATATAAGTTACAGCCCAGGAATGGTGATGGACAATCAACCCAGGAAACAATTAGCAGCATGTTACCTGCATCACTACACCAGCAACAGCAACAGCGCACTCGGCAGCTTCAGCCCAAGACTGCATCTCCTGATGGGCATCGCATAAATGCAATAACCACATTATGTGTAAATCTGGAACAGGAGCAAACGCCATCGCAAGTTTATAGAAGCTCTCTGCAGCAGCATATCTATCCATGGTCATAACAGATCCCTGTGTAAAGATGTAGCCAAAGCACAATGCCATTGAATATCATTCAAGTTTATGTTGGATATTGTAGCTGAGACGAAGGATGTCAGAATTTACCAGAAGTGCATGTTCCAGGCTAGCATCAAGAGCCAGAAGAAGACTGACAGAGAGAAAATTCACCTCTGACCAGGACCACCGGTTCTCCGCCAATGTTTCTGGAATGGCAATAAGTGCATCCTCTGGAAGTCCACACTCGTTCAACAAGTTGCCACTCTTGGATTCATCTGCCATTTCCTCCAAAGATTTCCGAAGTCGACGTGCTTCTCCACTTTCTTCAAGTGTCCCATCAGATTTCATCTGTGTTACTTGAACGTCAGACATCAACTCTGACAATGTAATAATCAACATGACCCTTAACCTCGCTGTCTGCACAAAGTAAGAAAAAGAGCTCTGCAAATGGAAAAAGACAACTGAAGTCAGGAAGCGAATGACGAATAAGTTGAAGCCAGGAGATAACGGTAACTATAGTAACAATCTAAAGAATATCATTAAGCTTACCCGAACAAGTATCTGGAGCCCAACAACAGCCCTTTTCCTCATATTGTCATTCCTAAAAACTGCGAGACGAAGAAGATGGAAAGCAATTTGCTTTAAGAAACGGTCATTCTCCCTTGCCATTAATGTTGCTCCATGAAGCTCAAATACACTGTTGAACACCGGGAACATAGCTTTCCAGAAAGCAAGTGGCTGATTTCGTGAGAAGAAGCTCATAAAGATAGAAGTGATGCAATCAAGTTTTCCATAATCAGTTGCAATGCTGTGGGATGCTGCAGTCCGGGAAAATTTCCCTATGATTTCCAAAACTTGAAGACTGACAGCAGCACTCAGGTTTTCTTCCCAAAGCTCCTGAAAAATGAGAAAGAGTCTTTCTCGTCTTTTCTTTGATTTAATAAACCAATTGAAATACTTAACAGAGTTTAAAGTGATTAGCATAGTAGCATATGCATTCCCATCAAGCAAACTAATTCCACAGGGTATCATACCAGCTTCTGCCTCAATATTGGGTGCAAAGATTCCCGCAGTGCTTGGGTTGAAGCTCCAATTCTGGAAGATTGCGCCTGAGCAAGAGCTTCCCTTAAGGAATATGGCTGGCTAGGGGAGCTTAGCTGGGAATTGACCCTCTGCCACAAATACCCATTCTCAGGTGTTCCCTGAGGCTGCATTATACAGATAAGATCTTCAGGGCACATGAAAAGGCAAGATTTTCCATCTAGTACATCGGAAATATTGGCAACAGGATGGCTCTATGAACTTTGAAATAATTATTTCTTTGAAAATGATGTACATCAATGAATAACAACAGGTAACCATAGGCACTGGATGCATTAAACATAATACAGAAAGATCAAATTGAAAAACTTACTCTGACTTCTTGCCGCGATGCCTCAGAAAGATAATGATTAATTGCAGGAGAAAGCCTATCAGAATACCTCGGGGAAGCAGGTCCGTCCCCAACTGGACTGCGAGAACTACAGCCCAGAAGCATGCTATCAGAAGGTTTAGTGTGCTGTACAATATGAGATGCGAATATTACTATAGAGGCAACAGAAGTTGAACATTAGCAAAAATAGCATCGCATACCATAGGAAGCCATTAAAAAAAGGACCCCGTGAAATATCTGAAGACTTTGAAGGCACCCCTTTATTTTAAAAAAAAAAATTGTGACCAAGAGTGAGAGAATGGCATGAAATATTGGAACTTCTTTCACTTGTTTCTTTTCCAGTCTGTACTTCTGAAAAAGTGTTCGTCCTCTTTTTCCCTTCTATTTATAATATCTTTTGATTTTATATCAACGAAAACATATAAACCAAACAAAGCCTTGTCCCAAATTATATAGGGTTGGCCACATGAATTCATTCTACTCTGCCAACGGTTATATGTTGAGTTAGATTACAAGCAACCATATCTTTTTTCACTACATCACTCACTCCTAATAATCTATAAATCAGTAATCACTTTTTCACCTTTTTTTTCACTATAACACCAGAATATGGAGAAATTTTGTAGGAACAAAAAGAAATTTTAATAGATTACCCACCAAGATATGCAATTGCCAAACCAATATAGAAACCTAAAGGTTAGCATAATTAACTTCTTTATAAAAAAGAAAACAAAACAATAGATATGCAGCAACCTCGAAGAGAATTAAGCATTCCTCCAAAAGTTTAAAAAATAATCTGGTACGAGCAATGCTTTGCTGCCACGCCTTGACAAGTGATGCATCATCCAGATTGCGTACTATTTGCAAAATGACGGCTAAGACTTCACGCTTTTCAACGGCACTCAGATTGTAAAAGACAGGCATTTCATCTAGAATCTGCATGAAGGAAGCTTCACAAATTAAGACAACTATATGACTAACTAGGAGCGAGACCAAGAGCATCATGATACCCAGATCTGCAGACTTTTTCAAGCATTTAAGTGTAATATTTACACAATTACCATACATATCATTGAAAAGTAAGGATACGCAAGCACTAGAGAAAAAATTACTGCTTGAGCTATGGGGCATTGATGTAACAGAACTGAACATATCTACTGGATATAGTAATAATAGCAGACATTATCACAAAAAATTATTTGTATGTGTGTATCGAGGGTATTGCTTGGAACACAGATCTGTGGGCAGCCATCTAACACCAAAAATGTCAAGATGTTAGGTCTTTACTGAGTCCACCCTTATCTAGCATTGTCAATCAACATGGTCCAATTCTTGGTAATGCGCTTTATCATGTCTTGTCGATGCTTGAATGTTTCATACCTTAATAACAACAGTTTTCAGGCCCTTATAAGCTTTCTAAGACCAATACACAAGGTACAAAATTTCTAAATTTTAACCAAAATATTTTATTGCAAGGCCCAACAAGCAAACAATAAAGTATCCAATCATCATAATTCATAACAAATTTTATAATAACGAAAGAAGCATCCAGTAGTAGTACTTTTCCAAAGCAACTTGTCATCCATCAATGTCATACTACGAAGAAGCATTTATAATCACTGAATATACCAGCCAAACTGACAATGTAATAATGTCGTCAGACTTGCATATAAATGGGAGAAAACTTTTCAAGGAATTATTATATTCACTGAAGGGTGTAAAACCTGTCTTTGTGTTTATTCACTTGACGTAGAGTATCTTCATAACAAGCTATATTTTTGTTCTTTTAATCATTGAAATTGTTTTTCCCATAAGACCCTGATTTCCCAAACAATACATTAATAAAAGACCACCACTAACAAAACTCATGACAAGTGGTCAACTAGAAGAAAAAGAAAAAGAAGACAATGAATATATGTGTGACTGGTTGTGCATGTGTTTATATGTATGGACCCTTATTTGTACTGTTGTAAGACTGTTGGACTAACAAATATGATGTTGTGAGGCATAACATAATTTGTTTACAAAATTACTAGAATTTCTCATATTGAATATCTAAAATAAAAATAAATTACTAAAGCAAGAAAAAATCTCTATTAAAATGTTGATCTTTACATTTAACTTCAAATTCAAAACATCCATTTAACTCACCAAAAAATTAAAATCAATCTCAATCAGCCACATTAAATGTCCTACAATGAAGAAAATGGGCTAAAACATAGAAAAAAGTCTAAGCTACACATACAAGAAGTCAATAGAATATATGGATAGAAACTTTATCAATTGATCCCATACAAACTTAATTTTTCTAATAAAACTTTTAAATAAATTTCATACAATTGAAAAGGTAGAGGTTGGATTTCTTCTCTCCCTTTTTTATTGGTTCCTATTACTTCATAATCATTTTATATGATACCTTCAGTTATAGTAATATTAAGAACTTGGAAACAAAGTTTATTTGTGTCTAACATAGGCTCATCAATCTCATAAATCCCATCAAACTTAGTCCAAGGCCAGTGGGTTCAACTTCAAGCTAGCCTATTGGCCACATGGCTGTGCCCAACAGTCCACCCCTCCCAGCACCCTAAATTAGTGAGGATCAAACTAGGTAATGACACTTTATATATACATAATATGTGAGTGGGCATGCTTTTAAACACAACAAATCTGCAATTTCCTTTGATTGACATTTTGCACGTGAAAATAATATGTGAAGGGTGTAGCCATAAGATCGTCATTTTGATGCCTCATGCTATTATAACCAGCTTTCAAAAGTTCCTATATAGTAGGACGGTTAGAATAGTTGAGATGTTGGAGTTTTATATACTATAGGGTCAAATTTTTGCAAAGAGGATTTATGGGGAAAAAAAGGAAAATATAAAGCAAGCTTGGTAAATATTAAAATCCTGTCACCTGTCCAACAAGCGGAAAATATAGCTGCGCAATATATAATTTATCTTCAGGCTTCTGGTAACGAGCATCAAACTCATGCTTGCACAAAAGTATTACCAAGATTCTAGCTGCCTACAAACACCAAAAAAGTACATGTTATGGGAGGCTGAAATTCAAGTAGCCCAAATAGTGAAAACAGAGGCATTTATGCCAGTGAAAAAGTGAGCAAAACAAAACTAAGCAGCTAAAAAATAACATGCTCTTTTCAAATAAAGATCTGGTCATATCCACGCTGCACTCACTTTTGCCCGCTGAGACAAATCATCATGATCCCAAGTAAGGAAAAGCTCTTGTATTAAGACAGATGAAAGGTAGTTCCTGTTATAAAAATGCACTACGTCAAAGACACATCCCTTACATGATTCACAAGGACTTATCCAAACCAGTACATAACCTAGAGATGAAAGAATATATGAAAGAATACCCTCAAGATTAATCCAGAGACATACTGAAGAATTATCTAATATAACAACACACACACAAAATTTATATACAGCAGTGTGTAAAAATTAGTCAAAGTGTCAAATCAAAATAGGCCCACACATGTTCGAGAACTTCTTTAAAAATTCTATCTGTCATTGGCTGCATATGTCGCTAGCGAACAAGAGAATATTTTCATAGTATAGACATATACCTATCGAAGTATTTTTTTAAAAAACTTTTAGTAGGAAGGTGTGTAACTATACTGAGAATGAACAACTTGATTTCCCAAAGACAGATAAATAACTCATTCGTGTGCCATTATTAAGTGAAGTAAGAATCAAAGGACCGCTAACCCATCGATTGCTAACTTATTCCAAGTATTCACCATTGCTTTCTCAAGCTTTGATGAGTGCATTATCATACACAATAATGGAACACCATCCTTACAATTCCCTTTAAGATATCAAATGCTGCTAGTCCATTGATATTTCTAGCATGGCCAGGACAAGAGTAATTTAGCTGTGGCTAAGGTTTTTTTCCATTTACACCCCAAACAGAGTGAATATAGGAAAGTCAAGAAATATTAAGGTACCTATCTGAAGGATCACGCCCAGGCATCTCCACGAAAAGATCATGATCACAAATGATCTGGAGAAATGTAAGTTTGCAATCATGCAGAACTGACTGACAGACCCCAGAGAACTTGTCCAGGTACAAGGATACCTGCAGAAAACAAGAACACATTGCCACCAGGTGCCATGAAAAATGGTTAAAGCAAAAAATGGCAAAAGCTACAAAGATATTCCTTCAGATTATGAAATTAGTTTTTTTCTGAAAAAGAAACAGAAGATCTATCCAAAAATTTGTGAAATGCAAAGAAACTGAGAAAACTAAAACCGATCTCATTATAGACACAAATGTGTCAGTATGTCAATGAGTGTTTGAGTTGTTCATGACAATAGCTAGATTGGCTGATACACTTCCACCTTAAAGTCTTTTTTTTTTCTTTTTTGGGTGCTGCAACTTATTTCAACCTGGAAAGCTGAGCATGGTTATACCTCAGCCAATATCACACCTAATGACATTACATAACAGCATCACTCAGATATTGTCATTCTGGACCAGGATTATGATTGTGTGAAATGGACAATCACATTGATCAGAGACTGTTACAGCACAATAAAGGCTATGACAGGCCAGCGATATGTGGCCCAATGCAATAATTGAATTTGACCACCAAAGTGATTTATATCTAAAATGCATCGCACTTCTTTTTCTTTTTTTCTTTTTTTGATAAGAACTAAAACTCATTTTTTTTCCCTAATCTGCCCATGAAGGCAATCTGCCAGCGGAAAATAGGATACTTGATTTAAAATTGTAACATACTATCACATGTTCAAGCCTCAAGATCAAGGAAGTCCACACATTGCCTTTCTTTGTAAATAACTAAGGCAATATCATAGTTAGTTTGACACTTAATAGGATCTTATATATTTTGCCAGTTGACAAATCTATCCAAACTGCAATTTAGTGAACAAAGTCCATAACAGAAATATTTTGAAGAAATTTTAACTAATAATATCTACAACATAACATTCCTTGAGGTATCATAAAATTCTCAAGTTGAACCTCGTTTTATATATTCTAGGGTTTACTAGCAAAAGGGTAAAAGTTACACCGCTATAAAAATTTCCCAACAAATCATCACCTTGGGTCCATGACTGCAACCTTGTTGCGACCAATATCACAACAAACCTTCTTTGGAATCATATTTTTCAAACACACATGAGGTCACTTTTATCACAACATCTTCCAATTCATTGAAAAACTAGTTCAGTCAGAGTAAATCGCATACACCATTATTAGCTAAGCAGTTGTAATGAGCATTAATAATAACAAACTATGACATTCCATTGGTTTTGGCATGACGCTCAAAGATTTCCTTTTCACTGTCAGCAGCATTAAAAAGGTATGCCATTTAAGTTGGAGCAGCATATACCACACAAGATCATAGTGGCGATGCCGTGTCTGCTTGCTAAGCCTTCCATATACCTCTGAAACCAACTTATCCCATATAACAACACACAACCAGGTTTTGGATGTTATACGTGCTAGAATGATTACGCTACACCATGCGTCTGTAAATAGTACTGATGCATAGCGATTTAATTTTATGTGTATCCAATCTTTTTATGATCCCTATCAAGTACTGCCTCAAGCTTGATGAATTTGGCACTCCATGCCCTTGTTTGTTCAAACATTCACATCCATACTAGCAAAAAGTACATAACACCGCATACAGTAATTGTGTGTGCCAAGATGAAGAACAAAAACCAAGTGTTAAGACTAAGTGTTAAGACATCCAACAAGTTGAAAGCATACCAATTCAAAAACTTGGCGAGGCTCAATGATAGACAAAAGGTCATAACAAAAGAAAGCCAAACTGCTGTTCAAACGTTTTGCCAAGCTTAACCCCTTCTTGCAACGCTCATGCACTTCTGTTAGAAGGCAATCATACAGTTGCACAACACATCTAAACACACCATCTCTCAACTGCATTGGGGGTACATCTTCACCTATTGCACAAACAAACAAAATTGTAATAAAAAAAATGATTAGGATTCCAAGCACACATTGCCAATTCAATTTCTTCAGTATTTTTCCCCCCTCTAACCTCCAAGAAGTGGCATTGAATGAGCTCAATGAAAAGGAGAGAATCAAGAACTTTTGATGGTCAGGGCCCAGACTACATTAACAAAAAAGACTACAATCTTGCTTCATTGTTTCAAACAATTTTTGAAAAGTTTCTAAAAGTTGATACAAAATAGCTGAGGTACACTTCTTATATATTAGCTTTCATGAGCTTGTGATGGGGTTTACTCCTTATTTAAAGGTCTTTTCTTCATGAAGTAGTGAGATGTGCATTGCCTCACGGCCCTCACCCTTCCCATCTTTTCCGTTCTATCAAAATCCACCATGTGTCGATCAATAAATAACAATTCTTCAAATTGGAGAAGAAAGAAAATAGTTCTACCCAAACATCTCCTCCAACTTACAAACTTATGGTTGATGGAACTATTTTCTTAAATCATGACTTGTATCACAAACAGCAAATAGAAAATGCAAAAAATAAAAAAAAAAAATTGGCATACGGTAAAAGTCATGAAGAGCAGTATGTACATCAGAATTCAAATTTAAGAATTAACAATTACCCAGTGGAAGGTTATGATAAAACAACCGAGTCTGCTCCAATGCCATCGACTTGACAATTAACTCAAGGAAAAACCAAGCCATTGCCAAGACATCATCATACACTGGCCCTACGCGGTAACCTTTGGCCTACAATGTAAAGCCTAAGGGTTAAAAATAAGGGAGGCAACACATATACATCTCAATGCGCAGAACCAGAAAACAGATAGCGTAGCAGTCTTTAAAGTTTTATTATGATACCAAAAGGGATGCCATCAGGATTCAATAACTGAATCAGATAAACATAGAAAGAACTACACTAATTCGGGTGATGACCATATAATGTCAGCCACCTTTAAGGAGTGGGGGAAGCAAAGGTAGATGAAATTTACCTTACTGCGAGCCAAACTTCCCCACACAGTGGACAAACCAGGATACACCGGTGGTTGACGACCCCCAAAATCATCAAAAGCATAATCAACATAGTTTACTAGAAAAATATTTCTTTCAGCCTCATCAACAGACTCTTGTTGCACCCTACAGAACACAGCTCCATACTTTCAAAGCGTAGAATCAAAATAGTTAAAATCTAACAAAATGCCTCAAAACCAGTGCAAATATGAAACAGAACTAGTTAATAATAGTTAATGCCCACCAAAGCTTTGAGTTCCTCAGTGGTGGTATGCACACATGCTGTTCGGCTTACTTTGAAGGTTCTAACTATGGTACCTCGTCTCGATAGTATAAGCCAACTCACTCAAATGTATAGATACATAAATACAAATGTACGCAAGTAAGCGACAAATTCATGTCCACAGTCCACTGATCAAAATAAATACATTCAGCATGAGCCCAAATTTGATGTGAATATCTTCATTTGTGAATTTGTGAAGTGTCATTACCTATTAATGCAACAAAATTTATAAAAAATATTTAAGATTCCAGTCCAAGTTTAAGGCAACAAAGTGACAGGTAGAGAATTTCCCACTTTGGACGCTCAAAGAAATTTCAGGGCTGAATTTTTGAGTTTACAATTCAAGAAATCCAAGTAAATGTTTTTTCTTTCTCTCTAAATTTCTGGAATTTAATACTGAAGTTATAGCATTACAGCTTCTTTTATTTTTCTTATGCTTGGCTGGCGACTTTAGACTGCATAAGTTTGGAACATATGACATTTATGATATTATATGTTTGATGTCTCAAAATTGAAAGTGGGTATAAATTTCTGATTCCTCCATATTGTCAATGGAGATTCTGTAGTAACAGCGTTTGAAACAGACTTTTCCTGTGAGTTCTTCCCCACATTTTATCCTATGATTTCTTGTTACTTTCCCCTTCTATCCTTGGCAGAATCGCTTCTTTTCCTTTTCTTATGCTTGGCTGGAGACTTTAGACTGCATAAGTTTGGAACAGATGACGTTAATGATATTATATGTTTGATGTCTCAAAATTGAAAGTGGGTATAAATTTCTGATTCCTCCATATTGTCAATGTAGATTCTGTAGTAGCAGCGTTTGAAACAGACTTTTCCTGTGAGTTCTTCCCCGCATTTTATCCTATGATTCCTTGTTACTTTCCCCTTCTATCCTTGGCAGAATCTGCTCCAGCCTCCAGATTAGATTTTACTGTCAAAAATATTTTCAGGGGACATTTAGTGACCCATGAAAGAGCTCATTGTGGACTCATTTGATTTTAGTATATCAAGAAGGCAGATTGGAATCAGGAATTTGTCTAGACTGACAGAACACAAGCTTAAATAGGGAACAAGAAAGCAATCTATTCCAATCTTAGATTTGGCAAGGCGCAGAATAAGAGTTGGATAATCGTTATTCAGTCCACTCCCGCATTTGGTCAGTTCATTCATTTTAAGGTACTAATGTTGCATTGACTAAAATATGTGAAGTATATCTCATATCTACTAAACAACATGAAATATTTTCTTTGGGAATCACATTTAATCAACATGTGTCGAATAGACAAAGAATAACAAGAATAGATAACGGCAATAATTCCTATCATCCTTGATCCTCCCGAGTCCATTTCTTTACTTAAACCTTGAGATGCCTCGTTTTTACTTCTAGATGTAGTATAATTTGAATGGACTTTTAATTTATCTGTTCTTAACAATTATTCATTTTCTTTACGCTATAAAAATTATATCTTAACAAAAGTCAAACTGTGTCCAAGAGTGCCCGAGATACATCACATGTCAGACATGGACATCTGTGCTTTATGGATTTGTTTGTGCTTCTGAGGATACATTAGCTGACAAATGAGTGTGTATATCGCCTTTTTCTTTTTTCTTTTTTCTTTTTTTTTTTTTTTTTTTTTTGTTGAGAGAGAGAGACCTTATGAGTTAAAGAGTTTATCCATCCTATTACAACAGGTAAGGTACAGGATGAAAAGTTCAAACCCTACCCATTTGCTACCAACCATTTCAACATGACTGAAAACCTAAGTGATGTCGATTGGATTACACTGTAACTTGACTCAAACTGCCCATTTCCGGCCCTGTACTAGCACAACAGAGCTTCTTTATCGAGAAGCTGTCTGCCCATTAAAGCAATACGTGAGCTGGGTTCAGAACATTGTGAGACAGTTCCATGCATATTTAATGAAAAGAGGGAAGACAAGAAATCTCTAAGAATCATTCCATCGATAAGACAAACGGATCAATCATTAATATTAGAATCATCAAAAGCATGTGTTATTTCCCTTCTGGCAGGTATTATTTCCCTCCAAAGACCAAGACTTTTGGCACACATCTTTTAGTAATTATATCTGAGTCCTTATTTATTTATTTATTTTAATTCAACTCTCTTCTTTCATTCAAGATTGAAACCTAAAGGTTTGGATCTCTGTTTTATTCTCTCTCTCCATGAGATTATATCTGAGTCTTTATTACATAATAATTTATGCATATAACACTCTGCAACATTTACAACAGTAAGTACTTACCCAAAAAAAAAAAATTTATAACCATAAGTGAATAGCATGCATGTTAAAATATTGACCAGAGCTCTGAAGGCTGCAACGAAAAGAGCAAGCGAAAAAAAAAAAAAAAAACCATACCGTGTTAGAATATTAACCATGGCTCTAAAGGCCGCAACCTGAAAGAGAAAGCGAAAAAAATAACTAAGCCACGGTGACTAACACATACCTTCAGGATCCAAAGAGCTGGCGCAGAATAAAAGAACAAGTATAATAGAAGATAAATAGATATAAAAGAGCATTAGCAACCTTATTTGTGTACCTGGAGGGTTTCTCCACCATTGCCGATTAGATGGAGAAGCATATTCAATATTGGCTGAAGAAACTGAAGCAGAGCAGTGGAATCTACATTCTTCAAACTGTTGATAGCCTGCAAGCAAATTTCAATTGTCCAACCTAATCATTCCGTTGAGTGCACCCACCTTGATATACATCATTATTTATGACATCTAAAATATAATTTACTAGTTTCTTCAAGAACTGAAGGGGCAAAAGAAGTGCATCCACAACTTTTCATCAGATGCCAGGAGGTGATAAGCATTATTGTCTTTCACTGATATTCCAAAGAGAGTAAAGAGTAAGACTATTTTTACGAACATATACATAGAGAAGATGAACTTTTGGAATTAATATTTAAGAATGCATTGCCTCTTCCCTACCCTATACCCTTTTCACTAGAATTTTCCTTTATTTGTATTCGCAATGACTTTATTTGTTACTCCTTTTCATACAAGGTCTCCTTGACTTTTCAAGGTAACAAGACAATAAGTATTGGAAGTGAACAATTTCTGGGAAAGCTGAAATCTGAAACTCAGGTTGAGGTCAAGCCGTGCTGGTGCTCAACTTGCTTAGCGAGCATCATACCCTTGAAAAGCTTCGTGGGTGGGCCGCCTGCCATGCTATAGCTACAAACTTTAAATAGTCAAAAGAAAGGATGACACAAGCATCAGCGTATACAACCTCAAACTTGGAATTCTCTATAAAAATGATCTAAATTAAAACATTTGCATGGACACTTGCTAGAGCATCCAAGCCAAAAATAATTGACAAAAAGTGAAGAGGCCCCTCAAGTATGTAAATCAACCTTAGATGGTCCTAATCTTTTCACCCTTCCTCACAGAACTTGGACCCGCACATAAGGCTAACAAGAAAACAAACAAATAACCATGCATTCCGTGAACTCGAAATGGGAAAGAGATTTAGCCCACTGACCAACCAAGGTCCAACTCTCATATCATGTTAGAATATCTAACCCAAAACCGATGAGTGGAGAGGCCCCTCGAGTATATAAACCAACATGGAATAGTACTAATCATTAATACAAGCTCTCTTTACAACACTATCTCACAACCAGGGTCAGCAGGTTTACAATTACTAACCAAGCCTCCACACCAAGCTCAACCTCAATCTCAAGTCATTTTCCAAGGGAAAAAAAAACAAACAAAAGACACATTGAACAGACTACAAACTGATAATAATAATCAAACAGAGAAGAGAGAAGAAGAGGAAAATATAATACAGCTACATTAATCAGTCAAAACATCGTAACCTTAGATACACAATACATCTATATAATAAAACAAGAAAGTACTTAAATCTTATACCCAACATATTCTCCCCCCAAAAACATCGCATCCAACCTAACCCAACCCAACCCAGACCCAACGGCTCCCTGCAACACACAGACACAACGGGCACAGACCCAACAGCTCCCTGTAACACACAGACCCAACGGCCACTTGATGTCCTCTCTCTCTCTCTCTTTCTCACCTCCTCCCTCTTTATTCTCATCTCAGTCCCTTCTCTCACATCTCACATCCTCCCTCACCTCACAGTCAGGCTGCAAGACAAGCAGGCAGTGAGACAGGCAATCACTTCCCCAAATTCACGGCACGGTCACTTCCCCAAATCCATGGCATGGTCACTTCCCCTTCTGTTTTTTCTTTCAGCCACCGTTGCCACTGCCACTGCCAGGTATTTCTTTCTCTCTCTCTTTGTCCCTCTACCAGCCCAGCCCCAACACACAACACCCACACACCCACTGCTCCTAAACGACGGTGATACACACACACACACATCACTATCTGCCTCTCTTTCACAGGCAGCGACCATTGTGTCGATTACATTTGGGTCGGTCTCTCTCTCTCTCTCTGAGACGCAAATGATATGGAAAAAGGGGATGGTGGTGGCAGTCATGGGTTTGTCGTAATGCACATGAAGTGTTCGTCAAAATGCCTACTGCCCCAATCACCACCACCTACACCCTTTACCACCTACACCCCTTCCCACACACACACATATCTATAACATATCTATAAATTTTTGAGTTATAAAATGACCCACAAAAATTATACAAACATTATTTAAAGTAGTTAATTTTAGAGGTATGCTACTAAATTTTTTTAATTGGTACTGTAGCAAGTCCTATTCATGATTATCAACTTTGATTGGTTCTGCTTGATATGGTATGGTAGTCACTATATGCTAAGTGATGGTAGTTTTGGCATCAAAGTCTGCCATGTTCTCTCTTTGGATGCTCAATGCTGCTGCAGGAGTTCAGACCCATTAAAATGCCTGTAAGTACATTTCTTTTCTATTTGAGTTTCTGATTTTCTTCCTCTTTCTGCTTTTCATCAGTGTTATACCGAGAATTATCAAGTCTCTTTTTTTCCAACATCTATTTTTTCCTGAATCCATCAGCTATTAGGGTTTATGTAAGAATTATCTATTAGGTTGTGGTCAATTTCTGTTATAAAGTGATTTTTGAAGTTTAGAAATGATTGCCTTTGTGCAGTGCCATTTCATGGATAAAGCGACCATTGTGTCGATTACATTTGTCGACAGTTGTGTCGATTACCATTGTGTAGTTTAAATAAAATTCTGTTTCTTGAAAAAGTTGGCTCGAAATCAACGTTTAAGATCTTGGAAGCAAAAGAGAAATGCCACATATGAATGCCTCACCTAAAACCATCATGATCTTTAATGTTTGTTTCATTTATCCTTGAAGCAGTTTCTCCTTTTGTAACATCTTGATCATGGGGCCTTGAAGCACCAATCAACTTACTCCCAGTTTGTGTGCCATCAGCATTGAAGCCATCCCTGCTGTTGATTGTATATACATGGGACACTATGTTAAGCACACTAACAATGGTCCTATACGTGTTTGTTGAAATGCCCAAAAGCCATACCCCAATCATAATGCCCATGACGTGTTTGTTGAAATGCCAAAGAGACGAGCACAAGCAAATACACCCACACCCACACGTGTCTGCAAGCACATCTCTCTCCCACCCTCCTTCTACCTTTCTCATACACAAACAACACACACAAAGCCTCTCGGCCAAATGGGGTTGAATAAGGTGGAGTATGGGGCTGTGTTGGATAGGGTAAAAATTACAAAAAGGGAATATATTTGTTGTTTTTAGTTACTTTTCTTTTGGCTATTGGTGGCTTCCAATTTACTTTGGCTTCTTTCAAGAAAACATTTTTGCTGGTGGATTCATAATATACTTAATTTGTTTGTGTGTGTGCATTTCATTTATTTGCTCTGACCAATGCCCTGCACTGATTCATAATTGAAGTCAAGGAGTCATGACAACTTTAAATTTTGGGTGTATTTTTTCTACTATTTTAAATTTTTTATGCAATTTTAAATGTGCTATGAATTTTGTGACGAGCTATTAATAGACAGTGAATTTTGTGAAATTTTGTGAATTGAAGTGTTAGTTGAAATTGGGCTATTAATATGTTGCTATTGTGTTTTTGCTTTTAAACATTCTTATGCTTTGCTTTGGTTTTAATCTATTGTGTTGAATTTTGTTGTGATCTTCTAGGCATTTGTTGCAGTGGTGCTAGGTGGTGATGGTTTTGGAAAGATCACGTGACTTTTAGTTCCTTTTTTTATTTTTCCTGTTTGGTTAGTTGTGTAATTTGGAGTGTTCCTGATTTAATGTAATTTTTTTTTTTGAATTTAGGTGTTCAAAGTATTGGTTGATGACAACTTTTGACCCTTTTTATTTCACTAAAGTCATGACATTAAAAATAACAAAATGATTTTCAACTTAATGCATGTTTATATTCATTGTTTGATTATTTCGTGTTTAAGAACTATATACAATGCCTTCAGACACGTGATATAGGACGAGTTTAGGCTTTTAGTTTAGTAGGTGTCCGAGTTCAATGCTTAATTATTTCGCGTTTAAATTTAATATTCGATTTTTTTTAGTTGCACCATGCCTTCAGGCACAGGTTATCCCTAGTACCCTCATATAGTACGGCAATATAAAAGAAATAAAATGACTCAACTAAACTTTCTAACACCCTCCCTCAAACTCATGATGTGATAGCAAAAAAGATCAAGAGTTTATTAAGAAGAAAACGAAATCGTGTGATTATATGAGTTTTCATGAAGAAATCTGCTAACTGCGGGATAGAAGGAACAACTGGAAGAGAGATGGTTCCCAACCAGAAATGATGACGCACAAAGTAATAATCACTCTCGATATGTTTTGTATGCTCATGAAAGACCTGAGTTATGAGTTATCTGGATGCGCTAGTGTTATCACAATACATAGAAGTCAGAGTAGATAAAGAGATGTCAAGATCAACAAGGAGCCATCTTAACCAAACTATCTCAACTGTAATAGATGTCATAGCACGGTATTCAACAATAAACAACAATAGTTTACTTCTTATTTTTCCAAGAAATAACGAAATCACTAAGAAAAAAACAGAAGTCAGTGGTGAACTTGCGATCCATAGAGTCACAAGCCCAGTTAGCATCAGAATAAGCCATGAGTTCCGTAAGAGAGGAGGAAGAAAATAACACGTTGATGCATAGTACATCAAAGATATCAAAAAACAACAACCCAGTGAACAATAGTAAAGGAGGGAATAAACTGACTAACAACATGAGTAGCATAAGAAATATTTGGACGAATAAATGTAAGATATACAAGACTCCCAACAACAGTGCGATGCGATAGAGGGAGGATCAGGCAAAGGAGTACCATTAGAAGAAGAATAACGAGCATTGAGCTCTAAAGGTGTCTCAACTGTCCGATTATCCGATTAACGAGTTCGCTGAATAACATTTGATGCATACTTGAACTGAGATAACCATTAAGAGAAGAAGCAACCTCCATGCCCAAGATATACCTGAGTGACCTAAATCCTTCATCTCAAAATGATCATTCAACTGAGTTTTCAATAACTATATACTAGCGGTGTCATCACCTATAATAATCATATCATCATTATACAGTAAAAGAATAATAAAACCTGAGGAAGTGAACCACAAAAAGAGGGCAGAATCATGGTCGCTGGAACAAAAACTCAAGTCATAGATAACGAAAAAAAAATTGACAAACCATGCCCAAGGAGCCTGGTTGAGGCCATATAAAACTTTGTGACGTTTGCATACTT